ACAAGTCATATTGTTGCCGACATATTGTCATGACTGACCATTTGTAGCCTGCCTATTGTAACAATTGACCACTAGTTACCCATATATTGTCATTTTTGTCAGTCAGTGCTCTTTGTTTAGAGGGCTAGATTTAGATTGCTCTAATTTAATGCCCTGCAGGTCTGTCACTATTAGTCCACATCCCTATAATCCCCATCAGTGCCATACTGGCCATTTTTACCACCTGCCCTTGCCCGCGCTGCAAAGATAGCCACCTCAGGTGGCAGTAGTGCATATGTGAACTTGCACGCATGGAGTCAGCTCAGTGGCATGGAGCTCATTAGTAGTGCAGGATCAGCATCACCGAATAAAAGTCTCTGCCCAGCCACTGCACCCATCTCAATGACACTGAGCCTGCACTATTAACAGACTCCATGTAACTGAAGAGGTTCAGTTACTGCCCCTGCTTGTGCGATAACCCATCATTGTGCACAGTCAGAGAGCTGTGAGATCTGGAAAAATCAACAGATATTGTTTCTACTTATTAAACAGATACAACAAAACCCTACCATGAAGAGAAGTTCATGTTAGGGTTTACACACACCTTAAAAAGATAATTACCAGCACTATCACACAATGCTTTTTCAGCCAGATAAAACTGTATCTATGCAATAACTGCCAGAAATGCTCATTATTGCCCTTTAGACCAGCACTAAACACCCAGTTATCACAGACCTCCTATGGGGAAGGAGGGGCAAATATTCATGTATATCTTTATTTGTATCTATTTAAATAAACTTAAAGAAGAACTCCGGGTAGACAAAAAACCTACCCTTGCAGTGGGGTGCCCCTGCACCGCAAAGGTGAGCTGTTCCTTTTGTCTGAGGGGGCTCAAATAAAGCAGTTCTACTCGCCTGATCCTTGGTCCCGCAGCCAAAGAACATGATGACATCAGCGGTCCTTAGACCGCCAGAGCCCAGGGAAGGAGAGGCTGCAGGGACTGATCAAACAGCCCTGAGTGATTGAGGATCAGGTGAGTATTACAGCTTTTTTGAGCCTACTAGACAATAAGAGCACTTAACCCTTGCGGTGCCGGGGTAGCCCCACCGCAAGGGCAAGCTTTTAGATTTCCCAGAGTTCTTCTTAAAAGCTAAAACGTATTGCTTTATACATTTTAGATTGATGCTTTATATGCATATTTTATATCTACTTTAAAAAACATATTTCTAACAAATACACATTTATTAGGTTCACCTAATAAGGACAGAGAACATTGGTATTATTTTCTAAAGCGAGAGTATAGCAGGAGTTGTTTACTTTCAGACTTTCTCTCTCCAATTAAAACTACATAGGGAACAGTCACAAAATGGGATATAAGTGGGATCGGATCATTCCGTTTTTTATGCAAATTTCAACTTGAGCTATTGAGCTCTGCTCTGGGCATTTTCAGCAAAAACAGATAAAAAAATACCCATTCAACCATGTGAAAAATGGAGCACACCTGCTGACTGAAAAGGAGAAGACTAACAGTTAATATGCAATATTTTATACTGGCCAAAATATGGAAATGAACATTTAGATTGCATTTTTAGCATAAAATAAAAAAGTATAAAAAGCACACTATGGGTCGGGTTAAGGTTAGGAGTCAGTGTAGACTGGAGTTTCAGTGTAGACTGAAACATTTGTTAAAACTTGTTTTAGATGCCAAACCCCCCACACTCAGAACTACCTGATGCTGGATTCAGGGTTAAATACCCACATTCCACTGAGAATATACTAAACTACATCTCCCTTCATGATTAACTGCTGTAAATGATAGAAGGATGGGAACATATTTATGGTATTATGGTTAAGAAGTCACCACACATTGAAATGGTGCACACATGGAGGCAAAATGGCATGAAACCTTGTTGTAAAGGCTTCCAAAACATCATGGATTTTCACCTGCAGTGAATCTACCCAATTCAGCGAAAATCCAAAAATATATATACTGCCTAAAGCCAGATACAGCAAGCTTCTCAAATGTGCTTCTGTATAGACTGCAGCCTCTTGTCGTAGGATTCTTATGTTCATCTACAGCCTTGGTTCTCAACTAGTGGGCCGTGACCCAAAAGTGGGTCGCGACCTCGTGTTCAGTGGGTTCCCGCGTGCCTTCCACTTTTCTAAGTGAGAGGTTCTTCAGCCATCCACTAGCGCAGCACTGTCCGTTCTCACACCAAGCAGCCATTCAAAATATGCTGCCCAATACTGAGTGTCAGCTTAAGGTGGGTAGGCTAGGGCTATGGCCGCGACGGAGCTCCATCCATACCTGCATTGCTTACAGCTTCTTTGCATGCCTTGTAGAGGTACCTGAACCGAAGTGATGTCACATTCTGGCTACTGGAAACTCTACAGTGTGTGCAAGGGAGCTGTACAAGTGGATGCACATATGGATGGAGCTCCATCACAGCATACTGTAGCAGCCCACACTGGACCTCAGGCTGAGGATCCACTCCAGTTCTCGTAAGATTGGGAGAGTTTTTGAGAGCCTGTTCACACTAATACAGTGTGTTAATCGCACAGTCCTTTGCGATTAACTGACTTCCGCGCAATCGCACCTACCACGTGTTCTGGTGTGAGAGGTACATTGCACTGCCATTCATTTGAATGGCACCCCAAACGCATCTCCCACCCACAGTTCTATTGCCCACATCGTAACGCACAGTACCGCAATGCCATGTGTTCCATTGCAGTGCGGCTTGGGTCACGACTTAATGACCAAGGACAAATGTGGGTCCTGAGGTTATGCAGGTTGAGAACCACTGATCTACAGTATGTGTGATAGACTCCAGTGGGCTTAAAGGGAGAGCAATGCATATACCAGTAAACACACATTGGCATGCATTTTCACAGCATCAGATTCAGGTTCCTTCAGAAGATAAGGATACTGGCAACTGCGAAGATCAGGATAATCAGATAGCCGACTGTACTGCAGAATGCCAGGATGAAAATCGAAGCTATGCAATAGATATGGTGTGTCTCTCAGGCAGCTTAGATGTAGGTTTTCCACGTTTGTCTAGAGTGTAGCAAATAAGAATGTGATTTGCAGAATTAATTATTAGCTGTCCATGTTATAAAGTAAAATTAATTTAATAAAGGGAAAAATAACTGCAATAAATATTGGACAATTTCTGCAGTCTTATATGAGGTTGATACCAGGCACATTTGTGGGTCATATTTGTCTACATTACTCATAGCAGCTGACATTGTTAGAAAGTAAATAATACGTTATGGGACACAACAGCAATTTCCCTTTTTGATAACCATTACAATGTCTATATGTTCCTGATATGTAGGTATTTGGGCTGTGAGGTTGTCCCCATACATTGCAGTGAAAGCTCTTGAACTAAGTAAAATACCAACAGAGCACACACAGAAGAATATAATAATCTGTGTTCATTCCAACTTTGTAATGAATCATGACTGTTACATAAGCATATACAAGTCTGTGCAATGACCACCTCCAACATCAAAATGAAATGTATACACTACAAATAACTGCCATCATGAACTAACACCTTATGAAAGAAAGTAATTTAAAGAATATCTGAAACAATTTCATTTTCTTGTATTCATATTCTTGATTGGCCTGGTGTTAAATTGACTGTGTGACCTTACACATAGTGATTTGTAATTGATCTTGGTATGAGCAACTGCAAATCAGCAATTCATCATCAATAAAAATATTTAATGAAGAAACACACACTGTTTTGTTCCATATTGGTACGAATTACTGCAAGCCAGCAATTCATCATCAATAAAAATATTTAACATTACAACACACACTGTATTTGGTACGAGCGACTGCAAACCAGCAATTCATCATCAATAAAAATATTTAACAATGCAACACACACTGTATTGTTCCATATTGGTTTGAGAGATTACAAACAAACAATTAATCATCGATAAAAATATTTAACAATGCAACACACACTGTATTGTTCCATATTGGTTTGAGAGATTGCAAACAAGCAATTAATCATGGATAAAAATATTTACTAATGCAGCACTCAGGGCATTGGTCCACATTGGTACGAGTGATTGCAAAGAGGAATTTATCATTGATGAAAATGTTTAAAGTGACACTAATGTCAGGAATTGAATCTTAAAAATGCATTCAAGTACCTTAACTATTATCAAAAATGTATCCCGTTTGTGTATCACTCGGCTGTAGATCCTCAAATCATCTCTGAATTGGTGCTGACACTGTCCTTCCTTCGAGAGGGTGGCTACTTTTGTTCCCCATGGTCCCTGTGTGTGTTCTAAAGTAGCCACCACTCCAAGCTTACTCCCATGATGGACTACAATCTCAATACAAATTATGAACTTAAACATGACCATATAGTCCATCACGGGAGTGAGCTTGGAGCAGTGACTACTTTACAACACACACAGGGACCATGGGGAACAAAAGTAGCCATCCTCCAGAAGGAAGGACAGTGTCAGCACCAATTCAGAGATGATTTTAGCATCTACACCAGAGTGATACACAAATAAGATACATTTTTGTTAATCATTAGGGTACTTAAATTCCTTTTTTAAGATTTAACTCCTGAGTTTAGTGTCACTTTAATGATACAGCATACATGGTATCGATCTACCCTTGTGATCAACTGAAAGTATCAATTGAAAAAATGATCTTTCATGATAAATGTAAACAATCAATTAAAATTGATTGTAAAATCCACCAGTTACATTCAGTTCTCCAAAACACACACACACACACACACACACCTATTTGTATGAGTGATCAAAAGTAGTTAAGAAATATTCTGCCACATTCAATCAATGCGATTGATTTAGAATCTATCAAGAACTCTCTAAATTGATTGAACAGAGAGTCTTTGGTTTGTGGGTTTCAATTCATTCAATCAGTTTAGTCACATTGAATGATCTATTGAAGTTGCATATTATCATAACAGGAACAGTGTCCGCAATCCTAATAAAAGTTAAGAACTAGCAAAGCATGAAATACTCACTTTTTTCTCTATGCCATTTACTAATGAAAACTCCATTAAGTTGTTCTCAGTGATTTCAGCTCCATTATCTCCCAGGGAGGTGGAAACACAAAAGCAGAGTCCAAGTAGAAAAATCATGTTTAAATCCTATGGGTGATATGATTCTCCCAGGGAAGAGTGATGTCCTTTCTAGCAGTGCTGGGTTTGTACATGCAGGGTGGTGAGCTGCCAGTGTGCAGCTGGTTGAGATGAGAGCCTGGAGAAAGAGGCAGGCACTTCTACCCCTCCCACATCTCATCAATGTTCTCTGCACCAAACAAGTGCTGTCAAATATTCCCAAACAAAGTGTAGTCACCAGGAAATCAGACAAGAGGAGGATGCATGGGTGTGTACCCTGTATTTATGCAGAGATTACTGAGATTCTAGAACAAGACAGCTTAAAGCTTTTAAATGCATACATTTGGTACAAACTGTTCAAAAATCAGCTACCCTGGCTGATCAGAAACCATGTCAAATATAGCAGCAGATCTTTATTGAAAGATATGTAATTTTTCTCTCCAAATCTTCATATTTACTACATAAAAAAGTTTAAGCAGCTGTCTAGCTTTGTACTCCCAAGAAAGGGTCAATTTAAAATGTGTTAATGTTGACCTCATCTTGAACAGTTAGTTCTGTTCTGGATTACGTACTACAGCTGTGATCCCAACGTTCTCTTACAGCCCATTCACACTAAGCGACATACCTTTTGCAGCGGATCCGCGCGGCCGGGATAGCGCGACTTTCGGGGCGACGGTAGCGCGACCTTCTCTGTCGGGCTCCATTAGAAAAAAGCAAAGTCGCGCAAAATCCGCCGAAAAAAGGGTCCTGTAGAAGCGACTTGCGACCGCGACATGGAGCTAAGACAGCTCCATTGACTAGCATTAGCCGGCGACTTCTCGCGATATCGCGCGGCAAAAATGTGCGATATATCGCGGCAAAAATGCGCGATATATCGCGGCGGAAATCGTGCGATATATCGCTTAGTGTGAATGGGGCCTTAGGCCCCATTCACACTGAGCGATTTATCGAGCGATTTTTGCAGCGATATCGCTCATATTTCCACGCGATATCGCTCTATGTAGCTTCTCCAATCCATTTCAATGGAGCTGTTCACATCTCGTCGCTCAATATCGCTTGTAGCTGCTACATGACCCTTTTTTTGAGCGATTTCAAGCGATTTTGCTCCTGATTGCATACAGCCCAATAGGAAAAAGTCGCTCAATATCGCTCAAAATCGCTCAATATCGCAAGTTGCGCGATATCACTCAATATCGCTCAGTGTGAATGGGGCCTAAGGGTCAGTTCAGGGCCGGCCTTAGGCCTTTAGGTGCCCTGTGCGAGAAAGCTTTACAGCGCCCCTCAGTGGCCACACCCTTTAGGGGCCACGCACCCTAGCTTTACAGCGCCCCTCAGTGGCCACACCCTTTAGTGGCCACGCCCCCGTAACCACACCCATTTCCCCCAATATATGCACCATTTAAAGACTCCTATTTTGTTAAGCCGCAAAGAAACATATTAAAAAGTGTGATAAAAATAAAACTTTTATTCAAAGGTATTAAACTTGTAGGCACAATAGAAGTATTCTTATCAAATAAAACAACAGAAGGTAAACAATAAATGTCAAAATACAATAGAGTCTATAAAAATAAAGTGCCAGGTCGTCATGCTGACCCCTTTTTTCAAGTAAGTGCATCTAGAAAAGTAAAAATAAAAAACAGAACACAGACCCCGGGCTACATGTAAATGAAGCCAGGGGTCTGTATTGTATTCAGACACATAATAATAATAATTTGTTTGAGAATGTGCGGCGGCCATGTTGGCCACCAGCGTGTTCTCTGAATGCGTGCCACCATCTTGGAGGCAGGGAGCATGACGTTACATGACGCCATGCATGCGTGGCGTCAGGTGACCTCACACGCCGATATTGGCCCCACCATCTTGGTGTATACCTAGATATACACCAAGATGGCGGCGCCCAACACGTGCGGTGTTATATGACGTCATGCGCCCTGCCTCCAGAGCACGCCAATGGCTGAATCCAAACTAGCATATAAATGTGTTTTGTTTGATGAAACAAATGAAAACTTTTTTAGTTTTC